AAAAGAACATGTAAAGTAGAAAGGTGACTGTTTTTGCTGTGAAGGTATCTTTTATAGGTGCATAAACACAAATTTGACAATATCATTGTAAATTGCTTTTAGCTGATGTCTCTTGATAAAAAATAGAATTAATTTTGGTTTAACCCCTTCTCTCACAACATTTTATTAGTAATTCTCCTTACTGTCTGTATGTAATTGTTATGTTGTTATTTTGGACAGTGTGATATTGGATCAACTAATAAAAATCCCCTAAAAAGTATTTTTCATTATTCTCATCACACTTCCGCTTGATATTGCATGGATTAGGTAGGGAGAAATTCTTTCTTGATCACTTGTGGGGGTGAAAGGGTTAAACTAAATAAGCTACACCCAGAATGGTCTCCTATTAAGGGTCACATTTTAAAAGGAAATCTCCTTCTTCTCTAACCCTCTACACCCTAACATCAGTATGCATATTCTCTATAATGCTCCTTATATATTTCTTTGGGTGCTGAAAAAGAGAACTTGCTTAACAATCAAGGACTTCTTTTGCTGGTGATCATTTTCTTTGTTCTCATGACCTTAATGTGTGATTGAGGGGTGATATTGTAAGGAGAAATTAGATGCTTGGCACACTTTGGGGTTAAAGGGGATCTCATTAACTTGGCTTATTTAGATTCCTTAGATTAACATTCAGAGGAAAATTATGCTAAAAGCTCACTACATAATAATTATAACCAAAATAGTGATGATGTTAATGATAGTGATAATTAATAATTATAATGATAATAATTCTGATGCATAATTAATTCTTAATTAATGCTAGAAGAGAAAAAATTACATCAGCTTAGAAAATCCTGATGGAGGACAATTTACATTATCAACTCAGTTGTTAAAACTAAATTACCCTGTTATACTCTCCCACCAATGTAGCACCACAGTTTCTTTAGGAACTTACCCCCTTAAAACTTTTGACAGACTCATAGGACCTCAGTGCCACAAATTAAGATATGATGTTTGACCTCCTTACTTTTCCATCACATTCAAGTCTCCTATATACCTTCCTGATTCTGTTTCATTTGCAGGATCTATACAATCACAGTGAGGGTATCATTGTGTTGTTTACGAACCCACACCTCCAACTCTTGAAAAATTTCAGCTTAGGTTTATATCAATACCTTTCTTTTAAAATTTTTTGTATCTATATCACGTCATCCCCTTTCCAATTTCCATCAAGTCATTGTATTAATTTTTAGGGGAGGGTGTTCATTTGTTATAGAACTTTGAGGTCTTGTGTTCCCTTCGGCAAGAAAGGTCAAACAATGATTGTGTTGACTATTATGATGGACCAGTGGTTTTATAATAATTAATAGTCTTGTGGCAGTTTCTCTTGATTACACTACATTCGTACCCTGTCTCTTTAATGTTATAAAGAAATATTAAATTGTTCACTCTTCAACAGAACAAGAAGCAACTGATTTCCTATAAACACAACTTTTTTTTTTTTGTTTTGTTTTTTTTTAACAGCTCCAGGAGTATACAGAGAGGCTTCAGCCTCCTTCCTCTTCAGTCTTGTCAACCATAGTGGCCTGCCACCAACAAAGATGGTTTTGAAAGATGGGAAAGAAGGATATGCCATCTACTGTCATGGTGGTTATGGCCCAACATTTGGAGGTGGAGCTGATCTTCGCTTTCCTAGTGTGCCAAATTCCAACAGCTGCTATGTAAACCTGAACAACACTTATGAATGCCCTGTAGGTCAGAATGCTACTACATTTTTTACAGGAGCTCAGACATTTACCATCCAAGAAATGGAAGTTTTTGGTTTTGAAAAGTAAGAGACTGCCTAGGCTATTCACTCCAAGTAGTGACCAAAAAGGAATTTCTCTTTAAATTATAGATACATTTGTGAGCAGAAAGGTGTAGAGAAGATGGTAAAAATATCAGTTGTGGGCAACTGTTTGAATGTATATCAAATTTTCCGAGCCAAGATTATAGGAAATGTATGGTAGACAATGCAGCTAATGGATATGTAGGGCTTGGAAGGGGTTAATGATCATATTAATGAAAAGATAATAGATTTGAGGTACCATCATTTGTTTGTACCGTATTATGCAAATGAATTGTTCATATCAAAGTTGTTAACCCTCCTTGGGATAAGTAATAAAATATTCAGATGGTCATGTTTGGCACATCTCTTGTTATTTCTCAGGCTTGGTTGTTCAAAGCTGGGTTAAGATAACCCAGGATAAGTGTGAAATTTGATTTCATATATAAAAGGTTTATAAGAAAACTCAGTTAAACTTCTTTTGTCTACCATTTAATGATGGGATGCAGTGAAAAAAAAAAGATAGAGAAAATTATCCCCAAAAGGCTTTTGGGTGCAGAAATAAAGATACCGGAATCAATATTTAACCCTGGGTTAACGCTAATCTGCCTTCGAACAACTGAGCCTAGCTGCAGACCTTTTTTTCTGTGTCGTTCATTGGGTGTCTTGTAGGGTTAATGATTCGTAGTGAATTCTTCAAGCTCCCACGTGGCTCCATCAGTAAATCGCCCGGCTGGAACATGTTATTTACAAGAAACTAAGAAAATTTCAGTTCTAATTATAGAGTTTGTTCCCTCATGTGAACTAGAGGACTACTTGACCACGGGCGTGTTCGGGAAGTTAAGGTGCTAAGAAGAAATTTCCCCCTCTGTGATGCCATTTGCAGCAAAAAACATTCTCTCTTCTCTCAAAATACGAGCTGCCCGTAATTATCTCGGAACTGAGCGCACGTTTTGGCCAAAAATAGATTGGCACAGTTGCACCCTAGCTTTGTCCTACCAGGAGATCTCGAATGTAAAAAGACACATCACATCAGGCTGTTCTCGTTTAAAACGTCCATCATACGTTTTCTCTACAACACGGGACTGTGCGAGAGTAAATTGCGTTCTCCATTTTTCCATGCAATTTTCTTTCCACCTCAGGACTATGCGAGAGACAAAATCTATCTAAAAACATCAGTTTATCACCGAATGAAAGTTCGCAAAACGTCAGCCTTACTGTTGTTATTTGACGAAAGAATTGAAAAACCGAGCTGGTTGAATTTTAATCCGATCGCAGAAGTCGGCGTTAATAGGTGCCTTTCGCACAATCTGTTCCTAGTTTACATAGTATTTTTACGATGTAAATGTAGCAACTAGAGAAGAAAGGGAGTGCTCTGGTCCATTTCTGAGTTACGCAACTAATTTTTGCCTTGTTGGTAACCGCAAAACACATTTAAATGGTTATCTGTGGGAACCATTCAAGGAATTTTTGAGTGGACGTTTGCGAATACTCCATTCTTTGATTCACCCCCCCTCCCCTCCCCCCCGTTTTGCTAACTTGCAGAATTTATTCTGAAACTACAAAAGAAACTAAAGCGAAATGATATCATCAAGCACTTTGAGGATGTCATCTATTCTGTGATGAAAAACAGGTTCTTAACTGTGTCGACGCGAGTGCTTCATATCGCGTGACATAGGTTACGTGTTTGACCATTCAAGTAATAAATTATGCATCGTTTCCGGAAAGATTCCCGGAATCAATTGTTCATGGAAACATCACTTTCTTCAGCGCTAGTAGAGAAAGATGTCTTCACCAAAAGAGCTCAAAGAAGCGTCCAAATTACCCTCCAATGAAGCTTTTGAAGAAGTAAACAAATACATTAAAGGTGTTTACGACATTCTGAAACAGGAGGCGAATAAAGTTCACCAAGAAAGGGAAGCGTTTGAAGAGGTGGCAAAGAAGCTTGAACATGTCCACTTCTCGAAGATGCTGAAACTTAATGTTGGCGGCCACCTTTTCTCGACAAGTTTGTCGACCATGAATAAAGATCCAGGTAACTTAGCCATGTTTGTTACAGTTTTAAAAATATATACACTTAAAATAACTGACTGATAAGAGCTGTTTAAGGACCTTGAAATTAATTCGGACCACTGTTATGCATGGCGTCACAGTGTTTCGAATCATTGTGAACGTCAACTATAATTGCTTTAAGATAGATCAAAACGAGGAAATTAAAGTCTCTTTGGTAAAAATACGAGCTGATTGGTTGGGGGGATCCGAAAAGCGACGAGAATGGCAAAGGATGGTAAAGATTGATACTGATTGAATCGACTGACAAACTGCGAACGTGCGGACACGATGCCAGAAGACCCAGACCATAACATAAATCCTTCGCTTATAGACATATGGAATTTCATTCTCTAAGGGTTACTCACATGGAAATTAAACGTTGCACATTTTGGCTGGACTTTAAGAATGAAGAAAAAAGAACATAATTGGGAAAACGTTGTAAATGCAGAAACAAATGAATTTAAAAAGCAAAATAGTCTTCCATAGGATTAACTGATCCATTATCTCAATAATTCTGACATTTTTCGACCTGACTCTAATTTAATTAACGGCATTTTGTGTGCTTATTTATCCAGGTTCCATGTTACATGCCATGTTTTCTGAAAGATTTGACACAAAACCTGACGAGGATGGAACCTACTTCATTGATCGAGATGGAACCCACTTCCGGTACATCCTGAATTATCTGCGCACGGGGGAGCTTGTCGTCCCCGATGATAAGACTATTCGTCATGAACTGCTGATTGAGGCCAAATTTTATCAAGTCGAAGGAATAATAAAGGAGCTGACACCAAAACCCGCCTTCGAGGCGTCTGAGATCCTCTCAGCAGTCCAGGGCAAAACTTTGATGAAGTGGTTGAAGAAAACCCTTGGTCTTGACAGCGTCAGTGATGAATTGTTATACCGAGCCTCCCGCGATGGCTGGGCAGCTTCCAACTTTCACTTCTGTTGTGATAACAAGGGACCAACAGTTACGGTGATCAAGAGTGGAAATAATATATTTGGAGGATATACTGAACACGCATGGGAGTCACATGGTAGGGTCTTAATTATAAGTATTTTTTGAGTGTAAAGGTAAATTCGACAGAAATTAACTCATGAGCTGAAACTTAAACACGGAGAGAAAAAGTTACTCGCACCCTTGAGAGTTTGTTGAATTTGAATTGCATGAACAGCATATAATGTAGATATTCAGGCCTCATTGCGTAATTTGCTTAGCTTCAACCAGCTGCGTTCATAAAGCTGTGTGCTTGTCCTGAGATTACCTCAGTAACAGCCTATACTAATACAATAATAGGAAAAAATAGTTGCAGTTTTAGGTTGTGTCATATTGAAAGTTTCCGTAATCGAAAATTCATAATAAAAATTCAAAAATTCATAATAATCCATCAAATATTTTTGTTCGCGAGCGATTGGTGTAAACGCATCATGTGACCGGATGTGCTCCAGCTAAAACTGGGGAGTACCTGTGGATATACCTAAAGTGATATTTCTCGATTTTCAAATCTTACGTCCACTACGTTTAGTCTTTCTTTAAAATTCAGGGTGAGAGACGTGTAGCTGTTGTTACAGAAGAAGGGACAATTATTTGTTCATAAATTCATACCAGAGAACACGGAAAAGGGAAAATCTCAAGTAGTAAAGAAGTAACTTCGTAGACTTCATAAACATTTTTCCCGCGCGTTGCACATATTTGAAGGATATGAAATATAGTAGCCTCCATTTGGATATGCTCGTACATTTGTCCTTTGACTTAATTTGTTCCTCAAGGATCACAGGATTTTCCTCGAGCTTCGCTCTTGGAAAACTGTTTGCATCTTGGAACAGACAATGTCCACACACAAATATCCGGGCATATTTTGGTGCCAAATGAAAGCGATTGTTTATTTATCCATATACGTACTTTTATTCAATAGTTTCTGGATCGTACAAAACAGCACCAAGATCGTTCCTGTTCAGTCTTGTGAACCCAAGTGGTCTATCACCAACAATGATGTCTTTGAGAGCTGAATACCAATCGTACGCTATCTATTGCCATACTAGCTATGGGCCAACATTTGGAGGAAACCACGATCTTCATGTCGCAAATGCACCAAATTCTGGCAACTGCTATGCAAACCTCAGCCACTCTTATCCGTGCCCTACAGGTCAGAATGCTCAAACGTTTTTAACAGGAAGTGGGAATTTTTCTGTTAGTGAAATGGAAGTGTTTGGTGTTCAGGAGCAAGAGTAATTGAAGTGGACTAAAATTAATAACCATTAATATCAAATCTCGTTATTTTTTGTGTGTGTGTGTTTCTTTTCCCGTTATATTTAGTCAGCTATTGAAAGCTTTGTTGAGTTGTCTTATTGGCGAGCGAAGTCGTTGTTCTGTCGATGACATGGATGTGTCCGGTTTCCAAAACGTAAGGTGCATGGTTGCCTTGTTACGAGACTGAAATTCAGAATAATAGTGTCTGTTTGTTAAGGATCACATCTCGTTATTGATAGTTTAGATAAGTTGTGCTTCACTGTGGGCTCGTGACATATATATATATATGTTATTTGCCGGCTGGGAGGTCCGTATGGTGAAAAACTGTGACCTCGGTCTTGAAAATACTGCCCGAGGCCGTAGGCCGAGGGCAGCATTTTCAAGACCGAGGTCACAGTTTTTCACCATACGGACCGACCCTTAGCCGGTAAATAACATATTTATTGTTTTTAAACTTGACGAAATTCTTTCCGAAAGAACCCGAATGATTTATGGCCGTAAATACGGCAAGATCTTCCATAAACTGAACAATTTTTGAGTGGGTAAATGGTAGTTAAAATAGAGGTGATGCAAATTTAAGAGAGATGCCTCAGCGAAACATTTTCATTTCCGTAACGATAAAAGTGATTAAAAAGGCTTCCAAACAAACTTTGAAACATTATTTTTACAAGTATCTGTCACAATCTGACACCTGTCAATTAGAGAGCGCGCAAGAAAAAAAAAAAGCGAAGGAACATTTGAAAACCAACAGAACTAGTTTGGCAAGGACTGTCACGACAATGTTTTCTTCAAAATCAGTTAATGATCTAACGGAAAGTATTATTCACTCTCATCGACGATTCATTCATGTACGAAGATTTACCTCTGTTCATTAAGTAAACGGCGAGGAAAGTAATTGTGAGTAAATTCAATCTTTTTATTTTGAAGCTCGTTTGTTTGCTGTAATGGCGTGTTTAACTCTGATCTTTCCTTCACAAAAACTAAATTCGAACGGCACACTCCAACGAGACACAAGGGAATGTAATGCGGCCTTTTCTCAAAAAATTCCTTCAATTTCTGTTGTGCAATTTAAGGTACAAATGTCCAAATTGAACGGAATTGGAAAGACTCACCAGGAGCGTATATTTGTTGTAGAACTTAAATTAAAACTTCGCTCGCTCTTTCACTATGAACAAATTGCTCGAGAAAATTCAGATATTAAATGAATGAAAGTTCCATCCTTCAGTTTAACTGTAACCAAATACCTCACGTTCCAACTTTCTGGGTACTTTTTGTGAACGATTAAAATTAATTGCAGAAGGTTTTTAGGCCGCTTGTCAACCAACGTAATGACACTATTGTTTATACAAATTCATTCTGAAACCAATATTTTTCTGTCAACCAAAGTGATTTGATAGAGAGAAAAGAGAGGATTCATAAGTTATTTATCGGCTTGAGGTAGTGACCGACGTGTTTGCTTAAAAATACTGCCCAGCCGGAAAACGAGGTATATTTATGAAAAATGACAACGAAAGTTGGGATGTACTCGGCGACTCACGAAAGCGTTACCGTGGCCCGTGGGCAGAGGTAGGAAATACTGACCGGGTAAAGAACCAATCAGATTGCAAGATTCGTTACCGTGCCCTCTAAAAAAACAATAATATCTGATTCTAACCTTGCACACCTCGCAAGGAAGATTCAAGACTGATAACCGAACATTTAGACTATCAATTGAAAAGACAAAGCGTAGAAAAAAAACCTTTTTTAAATGAAATAAAAGTGAATATGATAATGGTACTGTATCTATCCCTTTCTTTTGTAGTCAACAAAACTAAACCGTGAAAAACCAAATCAAGAGTGGTTTACTTTTTTGAAAGCGAAACTGCAGTCAAGCATTGAAAGGGGAGAATTCTTATGAACCTTTATGTTCCACAGTGTTATGTAAAGATTTATGTTGTGCATGCGTTCAAATTAGGGTCAATGGTTTCAGTAATTCTAGCATCGTAAACTTGAAGAACATAGCATTAAAAATATTATAAAGTATTTATTTCTCACACTCCTGACGCACGCAAATGACTACGCTTTGGATATACGAAAATTAACTTTTTAAATAAGCTGATAAGATCTAGTCTTCAAAAACCCGCGTCATACAGGGCATTTCAAGTGAGTGTCAAACTGTACCACAACGGTCATGCAGAAAAAAAGGAAACAATCAGAAGGAGCTAATAAGAACCCAAAGATAGAAAACGTAACCCACCTGGAGGCGCAGGAAAGCGACGACGCTGTAAACAAGACGCGTTTGGTTTTAGTTTTGCGTCTGATTGGTGGAGAGGATGACGTACGTTCAGGGACCAATCAGTTATCTCTTGGGTCGTAGGATTTTGGTTGTGTCGCCATAAAATATACGTGATTCCCCCGTAAAGCTCTGTAGTAATCTAATGATACCCTCTCATTGGCATACATATTTTTCATAATTTTCCCTCGACCTCTTGCTAGTTATATAAAAGTGCCAATCTTAAGTCTATGCAGGTTATTTCCCTTGAAATAAACAAAGTATAAAAGTAAGTCCTTTCTGTAACTTTACGACTACTGAGCCAGTTTTCTACATTCTACCAGTGTGACATGAATAAATAACCCTCAAAGAAAATGCTCCTTCCTTAAGAGTGATCATAGGTTGTGAACATAATCTAGCTTTGCATTAGTCTATTTCATAGTCCTAAATACCTTTGCTACTAATTCACTTGGGCAAATTTACAAATTTGTCATTTGTTATCAGCAAAATTTCATCTATCCTTCATCATCCTTATTCATTCGTGGTAATCAGCGTATTTTATGTGTTTTTATCCTTACAAAATAACATTTTTAGTATTTTTAAATTTAAGAGAGTTTGTAACATTTTTCTGGCGACACTATCTTATTTTAAGTCTTTTCCCGTATCCCATTCAAACCTTAGCGCAATCTTAAAGCTAGATTATCGCTGGGTCGCGTGATTTTTTAACGTGATGTGACTGATGACAAATGAGTTGAGTTGTAAAAAATAGCTGAAATTAAGCATCACTCGTTGTGAATGGTAATTCGAGAACCAACGGGTCAGATAGCTGATGAACTAAGGTAGAACAGCGTGAGGCAAACTTTACTCGATTCTTCCGAGTGCGTTTTGAATACAACTTAACTTTGCTGCGAGAGAGATGTCTTCAACGCCAAAGACTGTAGATGCAGAGGATTCATCCAGTGATGGAGCCTTCGAGGAACTTCACAAGCACATCAATGACGTCTATGACATTCTGAAGCACGAGACAAACAAGCTTCGCAAGGAGAAAGAACCTTTTGACGAGGTGGCGAAGAAGCTTGAACATGTTCACTTCTCGAAGATGTTGAAACTGAATGTCGGCGGCCATATCTTCATGACAAAGTCCAGAGACCATGACTAAAGATCCAGGTAATTTCACTGTTACTTAGAATATTACAAAGTGATATCTGTTAAATGAACGTCGAGAGGTCAGGAAAATTTTAATGATCTTTGTGAAGACGTATTCCGAGAACATGGTTTTTAAAACTACGAAAGCCAAATGTTGGTGGTTCTATTGTTTTGTAGCCGAAAATATAAACAGTAAGGAGGTAACGATGTACTAAAAAAGAGAAATGAAGAATGAAGAACAACTACTGGCCCGACAAATTGTACATAAAATAAGAACCGTGACAGAAGCTGAAACTTTCACTTTCAAATTGTTTGGCTCGAGGAGTCACTCATGCCCAAACGAACGACTTAATCTTCCGCTTTTAATCAAAGGTGCTCCCAATTAATAGAGGAAACCAGTTGCGGTGCATTTGCCATGTATGGAATTGACTGGAAAGATTCCGTTAAGGAAATTGCCGATGTTCGATTATTTGGTGGGCAGACAAACACTAAAGGGGCAAAGATAAACAGCCCGAATATTTTATGATTCGTGACGGAGGTGACACTAACTTTTAAAGGATTTGGCTCAAGGAATCACTTATTCACTCGCATCTTAACGATTCAACTAGAAATGGGCCACTAAACTTTAAAATATTCAGTTAATCAATCGCCTTTTCTTATGAATTCCGGAAGATTCTCTTGGTTGACGGTAAAGAACAACTTTTTTTCTTAGAATAGTACACAGATAATATGTTTGGCCCTTTACACTCTAAAATAAGAATTCATATTCTCGACAAAGTTCTCCATCAGTACATATCCGTTTTTTTTTTCTTTTTTATATATATATATAAAGCGGATGTGTTCGTTTTAATTCGATTTTAAATTCAATGCGTTTTATGCAGTGTGCTCTTTCAAAATATGCACCACGGATGATTTTATCAAAACTATTTAATGATTATATGATATCTTCACAATGTTTAAACGCAGTAAAGACAGAAGGGGAATGTTCCAACCACCCCTACCTCTCTCTTGAACCACAGTGGGAGTGCCATTTAGTATGCATACCCGAAGATCAGTGTACAAGCATGTGTTTGACATTAGCTGATTTCTTAGCGAAATATATTTTTGCTCCTTATCGCAGGTTCCATGTTACACGCCATGCTTTCAGGCAGATTTGACACAAAGTCTGGCGAGGATGGATCTTACTTCATTGATCGAGATGGGACCCACATCCGGTTCATCCTAAATTATCTGCGCACGGGGGAGCTTATCGTCCCTAACGATGAGATCATTCGCAGAGAACTGCTGGCAGAAGCCAAATTTTATCAGGTTGAAGAAATGATAAACGAGCTGGAACCAACGCCATCAGCAGATTCAATCCCGGCTGTAGTTCAACCGTTCAAGGATTCAGTGATTCTCTCGTCCAGTCAGGGGCAGACTTTGATGAATTGGTTAAAGAGCACACCAAGCTTTTCCAACAGCGATGAGCTTTTGTTGTACCGAGCTTCCCGGGATGGTTGGGCTTCTTCCACTTTCCACTCCGATTGTGATAACAAAGGACCAACAGTTACAGTGATCAAGAGTGGAAATAACATATTTGGAGGATATACTGAACAAAGTTGGCAGAGTAAGTCCCAAACACTCACCAAGTTCTTTCCTATGAGTTGTTCTCAAATTCTTGTCGGAAAATTACGACAAGGATACTCAAATAATTAATGCTAACAGAGTATTTCAAAAGGCATGATTGTTAATTTTTTATAAATTCCCACCTTGAGGATTTGAAGCAGATCAAAAATTTGACAATAAATACAAACAAAAGTTAGATTCCATTTTGTTTTGTGTCTGATCACAGAGGACATCAAAAAGAAAAGAAAACTGGCAAATGAGCTACTGTGTTTTTAAATCCAGCACTGAATTTTATGTCATATTACGTAACACAAGCACGTACCCGCGCACGCTATAACATTTACAGCGTTGTTTCGCGTGTGACTAATGGTCGCGTGTCGCGGCTCGGGCCTAGCGAAATTTATAGCCGCCATCTATGATGTTAATGGCAGCGGCATGGAGGGGAGAGACAGAAATGGAGAGGGGTGGATGTTGGGGTGTGAATAATAGTTAACCCCGTCAACTCTGACTCCAAATCAAACATGGCCGGTTGAATAAGCGATCCCACTCTTCCTAACGTTAAATCGCCTTAATGAGACGCCTGCACTGCAGTGTAACAGAACAACGGAGTTTTAAAATGGTCGGATTGTGTAGGCATTAACTTTAACTGGTTGGCTTGTTTTTTTGTTTTTTGTTTTTATTTAGGTAGCGGAACATGGAAAACAGCACAAAACTCGTTTCTGTACAGTCTTGTCAACCCGAGTGGTCTGTCACCAACAAAGATGCCTTTGAAGAGTGGACGAGAAGAATATGCTATGTTTTATAACAGTGGCTATGGACCAACATACGGGGGTGGTCATGACCTCTACATTTGCAATGCACCAAACTCTAATAACTGCTCTACATATTTGAATAACACTTATCAATGTCCATCGGGACAAAATAATAACATGGTTTTGACAGGAGGTCAGTACTTCAGGGTGAGTGAAATGGAAGTTTATAGATTATAGACGTAAAAGGAGTTTTTTCCTCGACTGAACTGAGACTAGTTTGTAAACTACAGCCTCTCGTTCATTTTCTTTTACAAGTTGTAGTTGCACGAATACTGTTGACTTGAAAAACAGAAAAATCAAAACTGTAGAAAAAATAGTGATGGAATAGATCGTAATATGTGTTCGTTTAGTTTGATAAGTTGCTGAGTTTTTGAAATACTGTTTTTAAAATGCTGATTATTGAGACCTTTCCACTGTCTACAATGTAGATGATGGTGCGCAAATGTACATGTTTGCACTATTAATCACATACAAATGTTTCTTGAACTTTGGTGTAAAACCATAGATATCAATAAAAAAACAAAACAAAACAAAACAAAAAAAATATCAGAGAGTCTTTCCCATACTTTTCTTTTCGTTATCACCCTGACCTTCTTTCCTTTCTCAAAAGCCCCGGCACTCTGTATGCACCTCAGGTAGTTTTTTCGACCATAATGTTACAATATTGTCACCTAATTTTTTCACCTTTTTTTTTCAAGTGGTTTTTGTTTGAAACACTCTTTTTCACGCGGTCTATTTTTGAAACAACTAAATAAAGGGGATAAGTTTCTGAAGAAACTGTAGTGCTGCGTCGGTTGGAGCGTATAACGGGTAACCTACTGTAAACAACTTAGTTGGTAAGTTGAAAACGTAATTTGGCTATTGTGAAGAGTTTAAAGGTTGACGTTTCGAACGTTAGTCTTTTCGTCGCACGACACGTCAGCCTTTAAACTCTTAACGGTGGCTAATTTGCGTTTTCAACTCAGTTGTTTACACTATATTATATGTTTGAAACACTCTTTTTCCACGTGGTCTTTTGTTTGAAACACTCTGACGTCTTATGTCTTTGATTTGGAAACAAAATAGACAGGTGAATTTTGTTCAAAGAACGTTTTGTTAAAATATAAGCGTGAGCCTGTGAATATTCGGTTAACTTCAATAGTTTTGAAATATTTTTTCTCTTGAAATTTCTTTCAGTCTCCTTTTTAATAGTTGCTCCTGCAAGTTTGAAATAACTTAACATGTATCGAGGAAGCTTCTCATAAAAAAACAGGTACACCTGTAACGCCCCGATGGCGCGACAAAAGAATCGTTCAAGAGGATAATTTTCACATCCTCTTCAGAACTCCCGAGTGAGACATTGCGAATATTATTCGTATGTGAAAATTCAAGTTGCCTTAAAATCAAGGTTGTTGTTTTTAAAATGTGCAAAAACTATCTTTTTGAAATCAAGGTTGTTTTCAAAATGAACCAGATCCCCCTTTTATAACTACTTGAATTTTGATTCATATTCTTTTTGACAACTGCACTGTTGATTTTCTCTATCCACCTCAGTTTTTCCTTGCAATGAGATATATGAAACGAAAAAAATTATAACAGCTAGCCTTAAGTCTGCTTCTTAATTCTATTCAGAAACGTGAGGTAATAAGGAAGGAAAGAAATTTCTCTGCTTTCGTTTGTAAAATCAATCGAGTGAAGCGATTCAGACCAACTTTGACGGGAGATTATCTAAAAATAATCAAGATGAAACCCGTGGCATCCTTTCAAACAGCTTTCCTATGTCGATCTCCCCGTCACCTTTTCATCAAACTAAGTTGAAAGTTAAAAAACAAGCGAAGCTTTTAAGCACGAGTTAGTCGAAAATAGCTACCGAAAGGCTTGTATAATATATAAATCGAGTTTACGAAATCAGTAATGGAGAGAAATGAGACCAAATCGATGCAGTCGCACTTTAAATTCTACACTCAATGGACAAAACCCTAATCATCCCTTCTTGAGACGAATCATAAGTTTTGAGCCTCAAGGTTTGGACACCTTAAATATGTTGCAACTAAACTTTTAATATTCCTGTGCTATTCTAGTCTTCAATTAGTTATAGGAAATTCATTGTACCCAGCTAATTGTAAGCTATGTTTCGTAAGTAATGTGCTTAAAGAGAGCTTATATATTGTAAGTAATGTATGCCGGTGTAAATAGTCGCCCTCCCACTGACTTAGATGATTTTCACTGCATCGAGAGCTTTTGCTTGGGTCTCCTTGAATAAGCTTCGGACCAAAACAAACCAGTGACCAATCGCTGCTCAGATTCATGTTCACGTGACACGATGACACTGATGGAAAGTTAAATAAAATGGAAATTTAGATAATCTTCAGGTTGATAACGTGAGAAGGGCTATGCATGTCCAAGATCTGTGAAGACTTTTTTTTCAGTTAGCTCTCTCAACCTTTTTCCTGCACGGCCAGTTGGTTGTGTCTTACATGTGCGATGATTGGTAATGATTCTCCCAGGCTCACTTGGGACTCTATCAGTTTATCGCCTCGTTAGAACAATTTATTCGCGAGAAGCTAAGAAATTTCAGATCTGAGTCTAGAGAATGTTCCCTCCCTTTACCCGTTCGATACGGCTGGGAGACCGCTGAACTGTGAAAATGGCGGACAGTCGGGGGTTAATTCGAGACCCAGACCGGACTATAGCTAGGGTCATTAAACAATCAAAAGAACAGCGCTAACCGTCTGTAATTTTCTATGTATGGAAAAAAAAAGTTAGGCGACAAGAGATTGGGATTTTTGTATACTTCGTGCGAAGCCGATCTCTAAAAAAAATTATGCATGGCACTTGGTGGACACTTCGGCGGTCCACGTCCAAAACATTAATCATGCGTTTTCTTTCTCTTAACACCCATAGTATTGTGCGAGGGCAAAGACTATATGTCAAGGCAAATCTGTTTATCCCTGTCATGATACTGCCTAGATTTCAGCCAGCGGTTAGCCTATGACTAGTACCTAGGCCACCATATACAAGAATGGGCATCTAATAATTATTCACAGGTGGTGTGATTTACTCTCCTGGGTTCTGTTCTGTTTGCTTTGTAATAAACTTGCGAGTTCTTACGCCTCCAATCCCTAAATATAAGTTAGCAAAATATGTTAGCCTTATTGCACTTGTTTTACCAAACAAATTCAAGACCAAGCCGATTAGATTTTAATCCCGTAGCGAAGTAAGTTGCTCAATGCCTTTCGAACAATCTTGCCCATTATTTCTAAACTGAATTCAGTTGTTGTTGTTAAAGAAGAAGGGCTAAGCAACATTCTGGTTAATGATTGACCTAGGCAAAATTGACTAATTTTTCCCTCGTCGATAAACTCTAAACTAGTATGTAACTGAGTTCTCTGTATGGAATTATTTCAACTCCTGAACTATTTTCAAGGGGATTGTATCCTGGAAAATCTTTTTTCGCAACACTTATGAACAGTCCAATTTTTGATTCAGCTACGAATTTACCAAAACCTAGAATAAAATAACATCAAGAAGCACTTTGAGGAAGTCTTGTAATCAGTGATGAAAGTAGGGTCTACTTGTGGCAACGCTTAATCGCGCATGCTCTTATTTCTAGACATGCAGTCATAGACAAGGAATAAATTATGCATTGCTTCCGGGAAATTGAATGATTCCCGGAATCAATTGTTCGTTGCATACCTAAAAAGGCACGGTAATATCACTTTATGCTGCCCGGAGGTGTCTTGCTGTTCTAGTAAATCAAGATGTCTTCACCAAGAGAGCTCGAAGAGGCGTCCGAATTACCCTCCGATGAAGCTTTTGAAGAAGTAAACAAGTACATTAAAGGTGTCTACGACATTCTAAAACAGGAAGCGAATAAGGTTCACAAGGAAAGGGAAGCGTTTGGTGAGGAGGCGAAGAAGCTTGAGCATGTCCACTTCTCGAAGATGCTGAAACTTAATGTTGGCGGCCACCTTTTCTCGACAAGTTTGTCGACCGTGATTAAAGATCCAGGTAACTTACTCATGTTTCTTTCTGTTAAAAATACATAACCTGCACTGTAAATTTGTCAACTGGGTCTAAGTCGACCCCAATAAAAACCATTTCAGCCCTTCAAAAAACCATTTCAGCCCCACCAAAAACCGTTTTGGCCAAAAGAGGAAATCGATTCAGCCCCTTACTGAGAATCAGCCCCCATATAAGGCCATTTTTTTTTTCCACAAAGGGTCAGTTAACCTTAATTTGGGGCCATTTCAGATCGTTTTTGGCCTCAAAGAACAGAGTCATTTCGATCCAGAACATTCAGCATTATCAGCTCTATATATTTTGCAACTCGAGTAACTCAAACACAGCAAGGTTTCCATTAAATGACTCAATCAAAAAATCCATTCAACCATCAGCTTTATCCAAATATAACAACTTTTATACTTTCTACTGAACTCGCAGCTTTTAAGCTAAAAATATCATTAAAAGACAAAACCTTTCATCGGTGTCACAAAAAGTATTTTCCCTCCGTGATGAATGGACAATTTCGATTGCACAGTTTCCCCATCGGAAAAAAAAATTGCATACCACGAAACAAACTTCAGAGAGGCCGAAAGAGCCTCATTTGACAGGTGGTTGCTAGCAGATTCGGCCCAGGGAGTGGGTTTCCCGCAAATCGAACCCAAATTTAAAATCCAGTCTTTCGACTTCGCATATTCCAAAAGAAACTTCTCTTAATTCCGTTGCCCCTAAGTCTCAGCTAATTCTTGTTACTGGCAACTTATTTTTTTATGCTATAGTGTAAGCAGATTGCCCGTTTTCCTTCCACAACAGGTGTTACCGGTTCAAGGACGTTAGGTAATCATTTACAAAAATAGCTGTCTACTTTTGGCCATTTCTCTGAAAAAAATTATATATCGGGTTCTGTTTGACCCAGAAATTCACATTAAATAGGTAAATAGTCTCGAGTTCAATCTAGTGTAACTACACAGTTTTCACTGACGCACCGGCTATCTCAGTCACCATAAAGGTTTTGTTTACCAAGGTACCGACAAGAAATTTAATTATGTGGCCGTGCAATCAACTCGCGTAGGCATCGCGTTTCGTGCGGCGTTGTTTCGGTCTTTCGGAAGTAAAACCCATTTGAAAATTTGAAAGGAATCTACGTGAAGAATGCATGAGACAGTTTAACAATTGTCTTGTAGAAAGTGTATTTTAATGAGTAATTGTATTAAACCGGTAATTACTGTAAAGACCATGTAGAAGAGTTGGACCTCGTGATTCGATACGAACTCCTCGTTGAGGTCAGCATAGAAAGCTCTTCCCAAGAAAATTGTTCAGTTGATTGTTGAGTTCATTCGCTGAAGGTTCTTACGATGTTATATTAATGAATTTCTTGCTACTTTGAGGACTTAAAATAAATTTGTTTGCTTAAAATAAAAATTTTGCTATGATGTTAATATTAAACTAAGATACCAATCCCATGAGTGCTGAAGGGCAGGAGCCCATTACTTAGATTAGTAATGGGCTCCAGCAAAGTGCCAAACCATAGGGAGGGAACAGGGCAACAGCGACCGAAATTGATTGAGCAATAATCACAAGACTATCTGGTGACCTTAAAAGCAATAGACTGTTCTTTACGCAAGTGCCACGAGTATTTATGAAAAATAAGCGATCAGTATAAAACTTGAAATATTTTTTATTCTATTTGGGAGAAAAGGGGGTGGGAAGCGTGATCTATATGAGGCCGGGAGCAGGAGGAGAAACAACGAAGACGATGGTTTTTTCGCTTATTAATGGGTATTATTCCGTCAAAAACACTTATCTAACAAAGTTTTGAAATTTCCATTTAACCTCTACCAATGCCTAAAAGAAAATTTTGGAAGCAAGAAAACGTAAATTTGTACTCGGGCTGGAAAAACAGCATTACTTGTGGTGCATATCAAACTCTTTCCCCAGCGCGACGAACATTTGTTTTTTCCTCGGTTCCAGGTGTACGCGACCACTAACCCACGTAATGCGCATGATCTCCGTTTCAAAATGGCGGACAGGCCAAAGAAGGAAATAGAAAAAACAAAGCGATTTTGCCATGAATACTCAACATACACCCCCGTTAGAAAGGTGAATCCACGAAAGAAAGATACAAAACTGTGTGATATTGAGATCGTTATGATATTAAATCGATACCGAGGGCCCGTTTCCAACTTGCTGAGAAGTGCATTAAATTGCCTTCCACCACGATTAGTAGCTTTCTTGACAGCTTTCTGAAGACAGAATATTTTCTTTCTGAAGACCTCTGATATGCGGCTATTGATTATTACACCTCGTATACCTGATTGCTCAAACACTTTGTTTACGATCGTTGAAAGGACCGACTCATGGTTCTCCGTCTTCGTCTTTACATTGCTTTGAAATAGAATAGATTAGTAAGCTGAAACGAAAAATGAATTGGGGAAGTTTACGAAAAATCCAGCAAAAAAGCTTTAAAAAGGCATTTATTTAGACTTCATACTTCAACGAACTTCACAAATCTTTCTTGTTTATCTCGTAAGTAAACGATGGCAGATAAATTTTAGAAGCGCTTTGTGAGTTTTCCGATCCCTCTCCTACTGCTTTCACGCTTACAAAACAGGAAAAAATCAAAAGGAGGAAGATACAGCTGTTTTGAAACGCCATTCGACGAGGGTAAATCTTTTCTTTTGTTCAACACTTTACATATCAAAACAAAGGAAATTTGTTCCTCTTTTTGATTCCTTTGGTACATTTTTAATTTGCGCCTGCGTAAAAGAGATATCGCCCGAGACCCTTCGCTCGGTCGTGTTTTGATCAAAAACGTCTTGTTAATTTCAAGCAACTGCTCGGAGAAAAAGTAAAAATGACGAGGGAAAAACTTTACCTTCAAGTTAGAAAATTAGCGAAATAGAAAGCCACAATATTATAGTTTAATATTTCAGAGGTACATTGAGTGCTTTTTCCGTAGAGAATCTGCACGATGGTAAAACATTCGAAAATTACACTCGATTTGAGTGGGGTGTTGAAGTGGGCGTGGTCACTCTATTCATGTTAAGACTACTTGTACCCCATGAGCTTTATTTGATTTGGAAATCCCTTCAATCCCATCACGTCATAATGAGATGACACATGTACACTTGCACTTCAGTATCTGGTAGGCTGTAGCTGTCGAAGAGCTCCAGCGAAGAAAGCGATCCAGGGTCATCTAGGTTAAATTTCGTCAAAGACTATGTTAATCAGCCTCAGTATTTTTCGGTGTGGCAACGAAAAATCCGTTCATAGAAGACCTTCTTGGGAGCTCGCCCCATACGAGTGTACATCCCAAATTGCTGAAGATTTTGCCTCGTGGTGCAAACTTGTTTCGAAGGAATGCCGCTTCAGTGAGCGCGCGGAGAGTGCGGAGTGGTTCACTTTTCAACGCAATTTTTTTTCTTTATCTTGGACAAGGCTAAGGCACTTCCCATTAGGATACGGAGTTGATTTAGCCATTAAATTTTTTTTGTTTTGACCATACATTGGCCCAAATTGGCCACGAAATAGGGACCAATTTTCACTCCCTCTAAGGTAGGAATTGGTTCCAGAAGGGCTGATTTGGCCTAGCAATCGTGCCATTTTGACCCCATTGAAAGCCAAAAGTACCCCTCGTTTTTCCAAAAGTACCCCTCATTTTCCCATACAGGACCATTTCTGCCCTCTTTGCTGGGGCCAAAACAACTCTTTTCCAGAAGGGCCAAATTAGCCCTTAAAATAGGATTGTATTTTACTCAACGGAATGGCCCTATTTTGGGGGCTGAAACAGATCCGTTCGATTTACAGTGTGGGAATAACTGGCTAATAAGAGTTGTTAAAGGATCTTGAAGTTAATTCGAAACACTATTATGGCGTGACAGTGTTTCGAATCATTGTGAGCGTCAACTATAATTGCTCTAAGATACATCGAAACGATAAAATTGAAGTCGTTTTGGTAAGAAAATGAACTGATTAGTTGGAGGGGGCAACTTAAAAGCAACGAGGATAATGAAGGATGGTAAAGATTGGGTCTGATTGCAAGCGACTGACGAACTGTGAACGTTCGGACACGATGCCAGAAGTCCAGATCATAGAATAAATCCCTTGCTTAAAGACATATGGACTTTCACTCACCATGGATCGCTCACGTGGAAAATTAAACGTCATACACGTTAGCTGGGCATCAAAAGTGAAAGAAAAAACCTTTATTAGGGAAACGTAAATGCAGAAATAGATGGATTAATAGATAGGATTAAAAGCAAAAGAAAAGTCTTCCATATAATTAACTTATCCATTCTGTTACCTCATCTCAATATAATAATTCCGACATTTTTCGACCTGAATCAAATGTAACTAACGCCATTTTGTGTGCTTATTCATCCAGGTTCCATGTTACATGTCATGTTCTCTGGAAGGTTTGACACAAAACCTGACGAGGATGGAACCTACTTCATCGATCGAGATGGAACTCACTTCCGCTACGTCCTGAATTATCTTCGCACGGGGGAACTTGTCGTCCCCGATGATAAGACTATTCGTCATGAACTGCTGATTGAGGCCAAATTTTATCAAGTCGAAGGAATGATAAAGGCGCTGACACAAAAACCCGTCAGAAAAACCGCCTTCGAGGAGTCTGAGATCCTCTCAGCAGACCAAGGCAAAAGTTTAGTGGAGTTGTTAAAGAACTCCCCAATCCTTCACAGCGTCAGTGTTGAAATGTTATACCGAGCTTCTCGTGATGGCTGGGCTGCCTCCAACTTTCACTCCTGTTGTGACAACAAAGGGCCAACAGTCACAGTGATAAAGAGCGGAAATTACATATTTGGAGGATATTCCGAAGTAGAATGGGATGGTAAGATTGTAACGAAAGATATTAGTGTCGATTAATGACTTGTCTCTGTCTCTAATGGTTAAAATATCTGAAGAGTCTTGACGCAGATCGTATCCCGGCGAGTTCTGAGTTACTTGATAGAAGTACTATAATAATAATTCATCTCCGATAGAGTGTACATGACTCTTGAAACCCTGTGTCGTTGAAGCAATTTGAATAAAGACGGTCTGCCAGATTACTCTTAGTTTTATTAGTTGTAAACCTAGTCGTAAATCCACTAGATATGAAGGTGTGTAAATCGCATTTGTATTTTCAAGGTTCTTCAGGGTATAGAAGAGCACAAAACTCGTTCCTATTCAGCCTCGTCAACCCAAGTGGTCTGCGACCAACAAAAATGCGCTTGAGAGCTGAACAGGAAGGATATTCTATCTGGTGCAACAGTAGGTATGGCCCAGTATTTGGAGGTGGCAATACTCATGATATTCTCATCCACAACGCACCAAATACTAACAATTGCACCACGACCCTCAACAATACATATCAGTGCGCAGTGGGAAGCACTTTTCTGACAGGAAATCAAAGCTTTCGTGTGAATGAAATGGAAGTTTTTGGATTCGACACTTAATAACGTCTGTTATTATGTGACTGGAGCAGATTCTTAGACTGGTGTTCATGACCTTTACCTGATCGTGTTATGTAATAGATAATTCATGTAGGTTAAAAATAACAATCAAACCTTTAACAGGTTTTCCGTGTTAATAAGTTACTTATTTGTACTTCTTTGGCAACTGTGATTATGATCAGTTCAATAGAAGCCCCCGTCATTATTTTATGATTATTAAAATTTCTAGCACTGTACCAAAGACATTGTAAAAGTGCTACAAGAAGACTGTCACGAAGCAGATCAATACATAGATAGACAACGCGGAGGAAGAACTTTCTCTTTTGCTGCATTTATTTGGGATTATGGATATTCTAATAAGTCGAATTCACGGTAATTAATTTTATTTCTTTGGGTAACATGAGCATTTTATTTAAAAAAAATACTACCAGCTTTAGGTACAGCTTGCCCAATTCTTAGCAGGTTTTGCTCCACATTATACTTTTCTGCACTCCGAGTCGTAGTTTTCCACTCCTTGCAATTACTTCTTACAAGAGTAAATTTACATTTTTTTTTTAATTTGGTCTTGTACCTCTAGCTGGTAGGATATTCAGAGGCTTAGAAAATACTACCGGCTAGAGATACAGCTTGAATATATAGTCGAATTTGCCCAATTTTTACACAATTTTCGTTGAATTTTGCTTTTTGGCATTCTATATAGTCTCACACTACATCAGCATCACTTTTTCAAAAATATCTTCCTGTTCCTTGGTCGTATACCTCTAGCCGGTAGGATCTCAAGTGGCTTAGAAAATACTACAGGCTTGAGGTGCTTCGTGCATTTACTTTTTGATTTATGGAAAAAACCTTTCTACATTCCATGTTAGTCTTACACTGTTGTGGAGTCACTTCATAGGTATATTTTCATGCTTTGCCGTCTTAATCATCCTGCTAGTAGGATCTTGCATTACTCAGAAAACACTACCATCCAGAGGGGCAGCTTATGTATGTGAAGTAAGCTTGAAATCATTAACATTGTTATGTTTTAAATGAATTTCAAGTTGATAAATTTTAAACTAGCCTGATTTATATTTTCTTCAGTTATGGATTTATTTTAATACAAATATAACCAGTTTTAGATGACTTTGACTTGAAATTCGTTTAAGACTTAAATATGTCAACCAGATTTATTGAAGTTTGTTATGTAATTCTATGCTTAAGTATGAGTGGAATTCCGTAGTAAGGAACGGTCTCTATTTTCGTGATGTTTGTGTTTGATTATTGAAGTATTGTTGAGAAGGCCAACCATTGTCTGAAATACTAAAATCAATTCATCTTTAGGTAGTCCTAGGATAACATGATTTTAATTCACGAAATTGATATATTCGCTTTGTATTTTTCAGTGATATTTAACAGCATGTATCACTGTATGAAAACCTTAGGGCAAGTTTTTCTTGAAAATATAGAATGATCATCTACTATATATATATATATACAGAATTATACAATTATATAAATGAGTTTAACCTGTGCCTGTGTTATTTATTGTATTTTTTAAATAAAAATGTCTATTATTATAAAGAAATCAAACCTTTCTTATTCGAAAACCAACCAGAAACCCTTTTCTTATTGCCAAATAATGCCTGCTCTAGTTTCAGCTGATTCCCCATAGAGAGACATTTGATGCTTATAGCTTGTGTGTTGATTCAGGATGTAAATGGCTTCCGTTTCGATCAATGAAGTAAGATCTATCCTTGCCAGGTTTTGTGTCCAATCTGCCTGAAAACATGGCGTGTAGCATAGAACCTGCGATAAGGAGCATAAACATATTTCGCCATGAAATCAAATACATACTCGTATACTGATCTTCGGGTATGCATGTGCATGTTGAATAGCATTCCCACTGTGGTAAAAGAGAGAGGTAGGGGTAGTTGGAACATCCCCCTTCTGTCTTTACTGCGTTTAAACATTCTGAAGATATCATACAATCATTAAAAAGTTTGGATAAAACCACGGGCTATGCATATTTTGAAAGAGTACGCTGCTTAAATATTTGTTTTGACGTCTCTTGACTTTCTTCCTCTGTCTCGGTTCTGAACCAATTTTCTTCTGAGACACCTTAATTTACGCATTTAATTTAAAATCGAATTATAACGAACGCATTCGCTTTACGAGAAAAAAACAGTGTAAATGTACGAAGAGCTTTTTGGAGAATATGCAGTCTGATTTTGAAGTGTTAAGGGCTAAACGCGTTTTCATTGTTCTGTTCTCAGAAAAAGTTGTTCTTTATCGTCAACCAAGAGAGCCTGTAATTTTCTTCCGCAGTTCGTAAGAAAAGGCAATTCAAACTGGATATTCAAAAGTTTAGTATTGCATTTCCAATGAAGAGACGTTTACTTGCGCGCGAATGAGTGATTCCTTCATTTTAAATATGAAAAACTCAGCTTCCGTCACGAATTATATAAAATTTCACGGGCTTATATATCTTTACCCCCTTAAGTGTTTGTCTGCCCTATTCTACCAAATAATCGAACACCGACAGTTTCCTTCACGGCAACTTTCCTGTCAATTTCCATAAATGATAGATGCACAGCAGCTGGTTTCTCACAAAGATTATAGATGCCTTTGATTAAAAGCAGAAGATTGAGTCCTTAGTCTGCGTATTACCACAACTTTTCGGACCAATTCATCGCCAGAAATCAAGGACATTTCGAGCCCGCTAACAATTATCAGCGGTATATCGTATTACACTCCGGAACAATAGAATATCAAGAGAATTCAATATGCCGGCGATCACGGCTCGATCTGCAAAGAAGAGTGTTTCGTACCATGACTTATACAATTTGAGCACCGCCGATCTTCTATTTGATGAAAAGAAAAAGAAAAGAAGACCTGCAAGTAAATCTTTGGGATCTTTTGAGGCAGAGCGATGTCAGAATTTTGATTTGCTTTAATTAAATTTTCGCGCTAAGACTACTGAATTTGCATTCAATGCCTGGCATATTTTTATTCCGAAAAGGACCGAGAACTAATTTATTTCCTTGCAAGAACATAAACAAATATGGCCAACGATTCGAAGATCAGCGTTGCTCGTGTTTAACTATTTCAGTCATAGTTTTCAACATGGCGTCTCGTCACTTACTCATCATGGAAAATAAGGGATATTCTGGCGCGTTGGGAACTTTTTTGATCGGAGAAAATGGCAATTTTACAGGATATTTGGACGCTTCGAACTCTGTCGCAGTCAATTCGATCGAGAGCAGTTGACTTTATTAATGCACTTTCCTGTAATAGGCAAGTGTTTTGGATGGAGAACGACGGATTTTAAAGAAGTGTATGGCGACCTAGGTCAATGATCAATGACAAAAGAACTGGCTTGGGAAGTAAGTGGTTTTTATTTATCGAGTCCCTGTGAGGTTTGATGAATAGCAGAATCAGTACTGAATATATCTCGATCGAGAGCATACCATGAGCTCCTGATTGTTATATTTTAGAAATTTTACAAATTTCCATACAGTTTCTTATATCATTTGGACGCCATTATGGACGAAATACGCAAACGCGGCCGCCATCTTGTCCAATATTTCTGCCGATGGAAATCATTAAACAGATATCACTTTGTAATATGCTAAGTATTGTTGAATACATGGATCTTTAGTCATGGTCTCTAGACTTGTCGTGAATATATGACCACCGACATTCAGTCTCAACATCTCTGAGAATAATCGATGTTTAAATAGAAATAGAAATTTGATAATTCTAAGTTTGATACGCTTGTGGCTTAAAATTTAGCACAAACTTTAGAATTCATCACTTGTGATTCGTGTTTAACCCACCTTGCGTTCTCTTTTGTGACGTGACGAGACAAGTTCAAATGCATTCTGCCATGAGAAATTGGAAAAATTAGAATTACAAATATGGGAATCTAAGGGCTTACAACTATTATCACTGAGGCAGAGCGGTCACGCGAGGAAACGAATCATTCCAATTCAGTACTGCGTCGTTAAATTATCTTGTCTCTTGCAAAAGAAAGATGTCGTCATTTCGTAAGTCGCAGTATGTAGAGGATTCACTCAGCGATGGGAGCTTTGAGGAACTCTACAAGCATATTGATGACGTCTACGACATTCTGAAGTGGGAGACGAACAAGCTTCGCAAGGAGAAGGAAGCTTTTGACGAGGTGGCGAAGAAGCTTGACCATGTTCACTTCTCGAAGATGTTGAAACTGAATGTAGGCGGCCATATGTTCACGACAAGTCTATAGACCATGACTAAAGATGCAGGAAATGCCACTGTTACTTAGACTATTACAAAGTGATGTCTGTTAAATGAACTTCGAATGGTCTGGAAAGGTTTAGTCATCTTTATGAAGACGTATTCCGAAAACATGGTTTTTAAACATACGAAAGCCAAATGTTAGTGGTTTAATTTTTGGTAGACAAAAACGTTTACACTAAGGAGGTAACTATGTACTTAAGGAGAGAAATGAAGAATAAAGAACAACTAGAAGCCCGAAAAATTTTAAATGAAACTTGAACCGTGAAGGAAGCTGAAACTTTCACTCTGAAAGGGTTTGGCTCAAGGAGTCACTCATGCGCAAATGAAAGACTCAATCATGTGCAAGCAAACGAATCAATCTTTGGGTTGTAATCAAAGACGTTTATCAATTACTTGGGAAAACCGGCTGCTGTGCCTTTATCATTTGTGGAAACAGAAAATAAAGAAATTAGTGACGGGATTAGCAGTTAAGATTTGTATGAGTATTGTCAAAATACGAGCGAGGCCCTGCGGTGGGATTTGTAAGCAGATGATTTGCTTAAGGTTCGGCAAGGTATCAGTTCAACTGTTTTGTAGGGAATACAAACGCTAAAGGGGCACGGATAAACTAGCCCGAGTAATTTGATATGATTCGTGACGGAAGCTGACACTTTAACTTTTAAAGGCGCGCAAATTAATGACTCTGTCAATATTTGTAAAGGCATAAATGTCCCTCGACGTTTTCAGTGTAAAGGAGAAGTTTGTTCATTTTTTATTAATTTCTTCCTTGAGGATTTGAAGCAGATCAAAATTTTGACATCAAATACAATCAACAATTAGATTCTATTTTTTTGTGTGTGTGTTCGGTCACAGAGGACATCAAAATGAGTTAAGAACAGGAAAATGGCAAATGACCCATTGTGTTTCTAAATCAAGTTAGCTCTCTGAACTTTTTTTTTCTGCATGGCCAGCTGGGTGTGTCACACATGTGCAATACCGGTAATGAATCTCTCAGGCTCACGTGGGACTCTATCAGTTTGTCGCCTGGTAAGAAAAATTTATTTGTAAGAAGCCAAGAAAGTTTCAGATCTGAGTTTAAAGAATGTTCCCTCCCTTAACCAGCTCGGTACAGCTGGGAGGCCGTTGAACTGTGAAACTGGCAGATAGTCGGGAGTTAATTCGAGGCCCAGACCGGACCATAGCTAGGTTCGTTAAACAATCAAAAGAATAGTGCTAACCGTCTGTCATTCTCTGTGCATGGAACAAAAATTTAGGCGACAAGAAATTGGGATTTTTGTACACCAGGTGCGTCCTGCCCGAAGGCGGTCTCTAAAATTAAAAATATAGAAGAAAAAAAAAGAAAAAAAAGAAGCGTAACGCATGGCAATTGGGCTGTCCACGATTAAAATTTTGATCTTGCGTTTTCTTTCTCTGAACACCCTTGGCACTGTGCGATGGCAATTACTATATGTCAAGAGAAATCTGTCTATCCCTGTCGTAATACTGCCTTGATTTCGGCCAGCGGTTAGCATATTTCTAGTACCTAGGCCTCTATACACAAGAATGGGCATCAAATAATCATTCACCGGTGGTGTGATTTACTCTCCTGAGTTCTGTTCTGTGTGCTTTGAAATAAACGCGTAATTTATTACGACCCCAAACCCTAAATATAAGTCGGCAAAATATGTTAGCCTTATTGTACTTGTTTTACGAAATAATTCAAGACCGAGCCGGTTAGATTTTTATCCTGTAGCGCAATAAGGAGCCTTTCGAACAATTTTGCGTATTATTTCTAAACTGAATTGAAATGCTGTTTTTAAAAGAGAAGGGCAAAATAACATTCTGCTTTATGCCTGAGCTACGCAAAATTAACTAATTTTTCCCTTGTCAACAAACCCTAAACTAATGTGTAACTGGCCGGGTTCTCTGAGTAAAATTATTTCAACTCCTGTACAAGTTTTCCTAAACTATTTTCAAGGGGATTGTATCCTGGAAATTTTGTTGCGTAAATACCTATGAACAGTCCAAGTTTTGATCCAGCTTCGATCGTAAGAGTGAAAAATTTGTACGCAATTTACCAGAACCAAGAGTGAAACAGCATCAAGAAGCACTTTGAGGAAGTCTTGTAATCAGTGACGAAAGTAGGGTCTCCTTGTGGCAACGTTTAATCGCGTATGCTCCTATTTTTAGACATGCGTGTGACCACTCAATTATACATTGCTTCCGAGAAATTGAATAAATCCCGGAATCGACTGCTCATGTTAACTTTGCATGCCTGAAAAGGCTCGGTAATATCACTTTGTGCTGCGCTAAGGTGTCTTGCTGTTCTAGTTAATCAAGATGTCTTCACCGAGAGAGCTCGAAGAAGTGTCCGAATTACCCTCCGATGAAGCTTTCGAAGAAGTAAACAAGTACATTATAGGTGTTTACGACATTCTGAAACAGGAGGCGAACAAAGTTTACAAGGAAAGAGAAGCGTTTGATGACGTGGCGAACAAGCTTGAGCATGTCCACTTCTCGAAGATGCTGAAACTTAATGTTGGCGGCCACCTTTTCTCGACGAGTTTGTCGACCATGAATAAAGATCCAGGTAACTTAGGCCATGTTTCTTACATTTAAAAATACATACAGTAAGAATCACTGACTAATAAGAGCTGTTAAAGGATCTTGAAATTAATTCGAAATATTGTTATGCATGGTGTCACATTGTTTGGAATCACAATGAGGGTCAACTATAATTGCTTTAAAGGACAAGGTCACTCAAAAAATCGCATATCTTTTGTAGCCACCAATAAATATTTTACACTAAGCCGAGTTAGCTACCGTTTTTTCAGTTTCCAAAGTTGCTCTGATCTTAATGAAAACCCACTTAAAAGTCGCCAAAGTGCACCGCCATTTTGAATAGGTAATTAGCTTAGATATGACCACAAATCGTCCAACTTTTCATTACCCCCGCCTATGTCGACGGTTTACCTTTCGATCGTGGTCACGACAGTTCTCAAATGGTATCGTTTCAAGCCAAAACGAGCCAAAAGTGTAGAAGAAGAAAACAATGACTAAGAAGGTGAAATGAGTAATCTACTAGAGACTACGGATACGTGTTCTTGTAGCTTACGCCAAGAGCTACTAACGCCGAGAGAGCGCATTCGCTGTCAGAAATAACCAGATTTGAAAAACAAGACGGAGGATGCAAATAACAAATAAATATACGAAAGATCGTCAGCCATCATGAGTGAATACTTTCAACGGAAAGTGGTGTCTTTTCGCTTACAACAAGTTTTGGAAATGAGCTGAAACGAACTAGGTTTATATTTAACTCCGTGTATTTGTTGATGTCTCAATGTGACTGATGTATCTTTAACTGCAAGCTTTCCTGGTTAATTATTTTTTTAAATTGGATTCGGCACTGATGCAATGAACAATCTACGCTGTCCACTAGTTTCATTCAGTGGATAATGTTATACCAAGTAAGTTTCAAATAAGGTGTCACCGGCGGTAAAAGCAGAGTGTGATTATTTTCAAAGATTCTCTAGATCAAATTTTTTAAAGTTTATATTTGACAGATACGACAAGTAATCTCAAGAGTAACCAAAAATGCAACAGGGTAAAATAAAACTGGATATCCCGGATATTCTCGTCGCACCTTTCTATCAGGGCTTACATTTTGGCATAACATTAATAAGTTAGTCTGAGATGATTAAACTAAGATAGAGCATATTTTATGCTTGTAACTTACCGACATGACAAGTAAAAAAAAAACAATACAACCAGCTAATTTAAGTATCGAAGATTGTAGATTTCACCAGTCGTTAACCCTTTACACCCTAGCTCAAGTATGCCGGCATATTCTCCATACTGTTCTGTATGCATTTTTTTAAAGTTGTAGCCTGCAGTGTAGTCGTCTTATCAGTGCGAGCTAACGTTATAAGCTCGCGATCGTTTATCGACCGGCCATGTTTGATTTGGATTTGAGGTGTACGATGGGGGTAGGGAACGGGGAAAAGGCGAAAAGACGCCTGCCCGAAGAAGCTGTTAAAATGCTATAGACCCCCTGATTAGTTACGCTGCACTGAATTTCCAGAAATAGGCAGATAAACAACAAAAATTACTGTTCCAGGCAATTGTTAATATCTTTGTATAAAGCTGGTCCTTGCGTAAAGAAAGGAAACTTCGTTTTTAACATCATGTGTGGCAAATTTTAGTTTGACGGCGACTTCTTTGTTCGAAATCCTTTATTCAGGGATGATTTTCTAAGGAGAAATTAGATGCTAGCTTCTCTTAGCTTAGAGTCAAAGGGCTAAAACCAGTACGATTCCCGTCTCCTTTCGCAAACTCCTAGCATAGTTGTAATGACTTAGGATGAAATCACCTAATTCTCCTCTTCCAAGATTTCCATAGATCTACCAGATATACTGTTGATAAGCTGCATAGAGATAGTGACTAAAGATCAAATAGGTAACTTAAAAAAAATAAAAATTAAAAAAACCGAAACAAATAAGCAACATTTAATCATAAAATGTAAGAGGAACAGAACAGCATCGTTCTCTTGATTGTACATTTTCATTAGATCAAGATTTAAAATACATGTATTTAGGATCTAAACGGCTTCACGTCATAGTGATTGCAGACTTTCCATTCTCGATGTAATTTGAGAGAAATCATGTTAGTAATGAGAAAGTAGAGTACATAATGTATCCTGAAGTAAATCCTATCAGCATTACTCTTACCGATTTTGCATTGGTGAAGGCACGGATGATCTATTACAGTCGTGGAAGCCCACTATCGCAGTTAGTAACAACACTTGATTTAAGCACACGGCTAAAAATTCCTCCTTCTTTAAAATATACGAAACCCTCGCACTTTGCCCAGCAGCAAAATAAACGGTATTTGACATAAGCTGATTTCTCGGCGAAATATGTTTTTGCTCCTTATCGCAGGTTCCATGTTACACGCCATGTTTTCTGGCAGATTTGACACAAAACCTGACGAGGATGGATCTTACTTCATTGATCGAGATGGAACCCACTTTCGGTACATCCTGAATTATTTGCGCACGGGGGAGCTTATCGTCCCTAATGACGAGATCATTCGCAGAGAACTGCTGGCTGAGGCCAAATTTTACCAGTTCGAAGGAATGATAAACGAGCTGCAACCAACGCCATTAGCAGATCCAATCCAGACTGTGATTCAACCGTTCAAGGATTCAGTGATTCTCTCGTCCAATCAGAGGCAGACTTTGATGAATTGGTTGAAGAACACACCGGTCGTTTCCAACAGCGATGAGCTTTTGTTGTACCGAGCTTCTAGAGATGGTTGGTATTCTTACAACTTTCACTCCTGTTGTGATAACAAAGGGCCAACAGTTACAGTGATCGAGAGTGGAGATAATATATTTGGAGGATTTACTGAACAAAGTTGGGAAAGTAAGTTCTAAACACTAACCTACTTCTTTTCTTTCAGTTGTTCTCAAATTATTGTCGGATGGTCACGACAAAGATGCTTAAATAATTATAATGCTAACGGAGTATTTGAAAAGGCATAAATGTCCCCCAACGTTTGAGTGTTCAGGAAAAGAATGTTAATTTGTTATAAATTCCCACCTTGAGGATTTGAAGTAGATTAAAGATTGGACAATAAATACTATCAACAATTGGACTCCATTTTATTCTGTCTGTTCCGTCGCAGAGGACATCAAAATGAGATAGGAACAGGATAATGGCAAATGACCCGTTGCGTTTCTAAATCAGGCACCGAATTTGACATCATATTACGCACCCGCGCACGCTAAAACATTTGCAGTGTGTTGTTTCGAGTGTGACTAATCGTCGCGTGTCGCGGCTCGCGCCTTTCCAAAGATCGCAATTCATTATAAATTGTCGCGGCGCGCTACTATAAGTAAAACACCGTTGTTTCCAGGAGAATCTCCACTCCTCAGCCTTAGAAATTTAGAGACCCTCTTGGACGTTCATCAAAAGAAAATATAACTTCAAAACGAATGTAAATTCCAAGGGAGGGTCTCTGTTTCTGAAAATGTTTATCCTTAGTCTTTGCAAAATTAGGAACTTTTGCTTCAGAAAACGGAAAGGCGGAGGGCGCAGAAACGTGATGAACGAAATCGAGTTCAATATAAGTGCCAGTAAGAGGCCGTAAAGATTCCAATATAAAATTATTTCGGAAAATTGTTTCAAATTTGAGCCCCTCGCTGTACAAATAAAATGAAACAATTTTGTGGTGACGTCCTCTGGTATGTCTGTGCTCTTTCAGATTAAAGGCAACCACCATTCGCACGACGGGTACATTTAGCTCATTGCACAAGACCTTTCCTCACCCAACATTAAGGCTCTATTCAAAAAAAAAAAATTGGTGACTAGTTATTGGATAGCAGAACAACGGAATTTTAAAATTGTCAGATTCTGTAAGCATTCACTTTAACTGGTTAGCTTGTTTTTTGTTTAGGTAGTGGATCATACAAAAGTGCAGAAAACTCGTTTCTGTTCAGTCTTGTCAACCCGAGTGGTCTGTCACCAACAAAGATGCCTTTGAAGAGTGGACAAGAAAGATATGCTATGTATTGTCATACTGGCTATGGACCAACATTTGGAGGTGAAAATTATCATGATCTTTGTATTTTCAATACACCAAACTGCAACAATAACTTTGCATATTTGAATAACGCTTACCAATGTCCATCAGGACAAAATGCCGAGACGTTTTTAACAAGAAGTGAGACATTCAGGGTGAGTGAAATGGAAGTTTATAGGTTATAGAAGTAAACAAGATTTTTTTCCTACGACTGAAGCGAAAATGGTTTATAAACTACTGCCTCTCGTTCATTTTCTTTGACAAGTCATAGTTGCACCAATACTGTTGACTTGAAAAAAAGAAAAATCAAACTTTAAGGAAAATAGTGATGGAAAAGATCGTAATGTGCGTTCGTTTGGTTTGATGAATTGCTGAATTGTTTAATTGTTTAATTGTTTAATTAGTTTTTAAAAATCCTGATTATTGAGAACTTTCCACTGTCTATAACGCAGATGATGTTGTGCAAATGTACATGTTCGCACTTTTGTTTATACACAAATGTTTGTGGAACTAAGGTTTAAAACCATTGATGTTAATAAAAAAAACCATCAAACAGAGTCGTTCCCATACTTTTGTTTTCGTTATCACCCTGTCTTCCTTCCCTTTTTCAGAAGCCCCGGCACTCTGTATGCACCACAGGTAACTTTTCGACCGTATTTGACAGGAAAGGGAGAGGGGGGGGGGGGGGGGGGAAGAAGCTATTCCCTTTAATAAAAGCAGTCAGAATAATGCTCTCAAAACTTGCAAAGCAATCTCTCGACATTGTCAGCGGATAGTTCAATTGCGCAGCGACGAGCATTTTGCTTTTAAAGAAAAACCCTGATGTGCACGTGAATTGGCCACCGTTAAGAGATTCTCCAGATAATCTTTCGAGTATTGTCCCATCGTCAGAGCTAACTCAAAACGTCAGCTTGAGAACATCTCAACGGTGGCCGATATCCATTTTCAACAGGTACTGACCCATTGATTTTAATTTTCACATTTAGTGAATCAGAGGTATTGCTTTATTGGGTATCACCAGGAAACCTTTACGCAAGTGTTGTTGTTACCTTTTTTTTTCTTTAGGAAGCAATTTTTACATATGATCTAGAAGTGTCTGAAAAGAAAAAAAGTCTTGACAAATTAGGATCTTTAAAGAAAACATTGAATATGTGGTTCCAAAGAGACCTCTCCATCGTTGGTAGGATAAACATAATTAAAACATTAGCACTTTCAAAACTGGTCTTTATCTGCAGCTTCATGAACACCCCTTTAAAGAAGTAAACAAGATCACGTTCGACTTTATCTGGAATCCCAAACCCGCCAAAAAAAAAGGACTACCCTTATCGAGCAAAAAACAGCTGGTGGCTTGAACATGAAGGATTTTTCTCTCTTTGACAAAGCGCTTAAGTTAAACTGGGTGAAACGGTTATGCTCTGACTCGGATACTCCACAGCAGTATGTACCAAAATCGCTCTTAGCCGATGTTGGCGGTACAGAGCTGTTTTAATGTAATTATGATTATAATCTCCTTGATCTAAACAACCATCTTCCTGTTTTCTACAAACAGATCATTTTTTACTGGCAGGACATCGCAACGGCCACACCTAAAGATAAAAATGAGGTTCTCTCACAGCAAATCTGGAATAACCGATTTTTAACTGTGAATAAGAAAATGGTATTCTTTCCTCATTGCTATCGAGCAGGAATAAAACAAATCTGGGACCTTTTTTACTCCTGTGAGGGCCATTTCCTTCCATTTAATTCTTTTTGCAATAAATTCAATGTAAAATGTAACTTTTTACAATATTATAGCATTCTTTCTTCTATTCCCCAAAATTGGAAGAAAATATTGCAAGAAGGTTCCAAAGACCCAGTTACGCCTCCCACCTCAATCTGTTCACTGTCATGCAAGACTATATACAGTATGCTGCTTACTCTTAAAGATCTACCTCCACCAACTTCTGAGAAAAAACTTTTAGCGTCTGGCGCTGAGAAAAGTGACTTAACTAAATCTACCTCCTACCATTCAAAGCCACGAGAGAATTAAATTGACGATGTTCTTATACAAAATCATTCACCGAATTTTACCAACGAATAGCTTGTTACACAAAAATGAAAAAAGTTGCCTCGCCCTCCTGTCCCTTTTGTCCTTCTGAGTGTCAGACCCTGTGGCATTTGTTTATAAACTGCATGCACGCCAGTTCTTTTTGGATTAGATTCCAGGAGTGGTACTCAATCTCTAGTAATACGAAACTGCTGCTGTCAGAACTAGAGGTTATGTTCGGAATTATTCGCTGTCGCACCTGCTGTTTAGCCCTCAACCATCTCATTATTTTGGGTAAATATTTCTTGTATGTTAACGCTTTAAATACCATAATGTACAAATTCGATGATTTTGTCTCACTTGTGCGCGAAAAAATTAATCTAGAATAATACACTGCAGTCACTTGTAATAAGGAGAAGGAATTCGGGAACAAATGGAAATTTTTTCGTCTTTAAAAAATTGTATTGTGTCCTTTTTCTTCTCAACTTTTATATTTTGATTTGTTTCTTTTCCTTACCTATTTATTTAATAATCTATTAAATTCTAGAAAATCAATACCCTATGTAGTGTAATTAACAAACGAAATTCTTATTAGTGACTCGAACAATTAACATGCAAACAATAACGTAAATAGATCAATTGTAATTCAATTTGACTAGTGTAATTGTATTGCAATATACGTATTGTAAGTAGTGCAAGTTAATGTAGTGTAAGCATCGTGTAAGAAGTAAGTATAGTGTAAGTACATATGTAAGTATAATATATGGAAAAAAATAAAAGTAAAAAGTAAGCGCGGTGGCTGACACTCTTGGCACGGAGCTATTTTTGAGCATTTTTAAAAAGCCACACTAGCTTCAGTGAGATAATCTTTTTTTTTTGTTTTTTTTTTTGTAATATTCATTGTCATCTTAGTTACTTAAGTTTCTGGAAGATTTGTCATTCTTGAAAATTGGCCGTACGGGCCTGAATTTTTTTCAGGTCCTATTTACAACTACTCGTTTCAGTAGTGTTCTTAGCTGCGAGGATCTCCTAATTTCATCTCTCCACCGCAGTGCAAATATGTGAAATTTTCATATATCTAATATCTTCATTTTTTAATTTTGTAAAATTAAATCCGATTAGTCTTCTCCATTACCAATCATCCTTGTTGTTATATATTTTATTTTACCACTTTCACGCGTTTTACCCTAACAAACTAATCTTGTGTGCTTTCCTTTGATTTAAAGATAACTTCGAAAGTTGCCAAAATAACTTAGTAGTGTGACGTAGTTCCCTCCTGTTCTGGAAATTGAAGCTTCACATCTTGATGAAAATTCAATCAGCTAGAGAGCTTGGCTCAAAGGCTTTCTTCTGTTAAAAAAAAAAAAAAAAATTATTATCTTCTACCTTATAAAACCTCGTGAAAGGTATTGGCTCGGTGAGGTATTCGTATAGAACTTCGTTCCAGGCATCGTCCTGATATGATCATTTCGACGTCGCAAAGATTTAGCATCTTCAAGTTTGTGCCATTGATAAATCTGGAAAACTACTTAAATTATCCGTGTATTTTGTCGATTTTTGTTAGATTTGTTCGTTTTCTTCAAGATGCCAAAACTGGGCGTTCCCAAGAACATAACGGCAAGCGCAATACCCCACAAGTTTCAAGGAAGCAAAGCAAAGGATGGCACCTCTTTATTGTTTAGTAACTTTCTTAACATTGACTGCAGGTCCAGATTGCATGACAGCTGATTGCGCGCAAAACTACGTAGGTGAGAAATGCAACCAAGTTTACGTCAAGTGTAGCGACACAGATGCTGCGTGACAGAATTAAAGTTGGTAAGAATGGTGAAGACTGGTACTGATTACAATCGACTGACGAGCTGCGAGCGTGTGGGCACGATACCAGAGGCACAGACCATGACCTAGATCCCTTGCCTAAAGACAAATGGAACTTCACTCTCCGTGGATCACTTACATGGGAAATTTAACAGCACAAACGTTGGCTGGACATCAAAAATGGAAAAAAAAGCCTAAATGGGGAAACGTAAATGCAGAAACAGATGGAGATAAAAAGCAAAAGAAAAGTCTTCCATGGAATAAACTTATCCATTGTGGTACCTTATCTCAATAATTCCGACGTTTGTCGACTTGAATCAAATGTAACTAACGCCAATTTGTGTGCTTATTCATCCAGGTTGCATGTTACATGCCATGTTTTCTGGAAGGTCTGACACAAAACCTGACGAGGATGGAACCTACTTCATTGATCGAGATGGAACCCACTTCCGGTATATCCTGAACTATCTGCGCACGAGGGAGCTTATCGTCCCCGATGATAAGACTGTTCATTATGAATTGCAAACTAAGGCCACGTTTTTTGAAGTGGAAGGAATAATAAAGGCGCTGACACCAATACTCTTCCAGGATTTAGTGATCCTGTCGTCCGATCAAGGCCAGACTTTGATGAACTGTTGTAAAGACGCTACATTAGGTTGGAAAGTGAGAGAGAGGCAGAGAGCAAGAATTACCCGACGAAAAACGATTCAAGTACCGCGCGAAAGAGACGAGCTGGAAAGGCCTCGAGGAAATATAGAGAGATGGTACATAACAAATCGAAAAATTAAAGTAACCCGAAATACCGCTTAGAGCAAGCCAAACATGGCAGGAAAGGTCATGATTAGTAGGGTAAGGGCCTGAGTAAAAAGCGAAGTTTCTTTGAAGAACAGAAAATTCAAGAGGAAGAAAAGGCCCAAACAAAATGCAAAGGTCTGATGAATACGAGAGACAAGGAATTTGAGAAAACAGTCGAAGAAGCAGCCAAGAACGAAGAGAAAATAGGCATCGAAGGATATGAAAACACAGATAAAATTAGGAGGTAAGACATGTCAGATATTTGAGTTTCAGCATCGCAGTCACTGACGTTTAAACGATCTTATTTCACCTCCAAAGAGACAGTTTGCCAGCGACCTTTGAGAGGAAAATGCGTAACGTTTATGGTGAGAAAAAAAAAAAGCTAAATAGAAATTTGGCCTAGAAATTTGCCCTAGAATCTTAGGGCAGAGCGGTCACGCAAGGAAAGAGATCACTCCAACTACATCACGGGCGACGAGCGGGGATAGAAAAAACGACCCAAATATGAGTGGTCAGCGGTGAAACAGCTTTTATAATTCATATAGAGACATATAATTTGTTGTTCCAGAGACAATCGTGTTGTAAAGCCGAAATGTTAACAGTTTACTTCACAGTTTAAGCAATTTTTCAAAAGTGTTGATTGAACTCATATCTTTTACTGCTTTAATAAACAATGGAGGCTTCGGAG